TTGTAAGACAAACTCCCATTTCTGGAGTTCTTACTTTCTACACTGACGCCAACTAATCAGGTAAGGTTATTATAAAGCAGGCGAGGTAAGTAAAGTAGTTCAATGTCGGTACACATCTATACAGAATCCACAATCTCTTGTTTATCATTATATGGATGATATTCTTTTATTGGATTCGAATAAGGAAACTTTGGAATGTATGTTTGAAATGGTGAAGGAAGTTCTGCCTCGTTGGGGTTTACACATTGCCCCAGAAAAGATACAAAGAGGAGATTCTATTAACTATTTAGGATATAAGATAGACTTACAAAGAATCAGACCTCAAAAGGTGCAAATTAGAAGGGACTCTTATCAAACTCTTAACAGTCTTCAGAAGCTAATAGGAGAAAATTCTCAATTACAGACGATTATTGGTGTAGAAGGACATGACTTAAAGCATTTAAAAATGGCGCTAAAAGGTGATAAGGTCTTAAACAGTCCACGAATATTATCTGCTGAGGCAGAAAAAGAGTTACGATGGGTAGAAAACAGAATATTGGATGCCCATGTAGATCAGATAAACCTTGATTTAGACTACATTCTGGTCATCTTGCCATCCAAAGAATATCCTTCTGGAATCCTGATACAGAGGGAAGACACTATATTAGAATGGATATTTCTATCACATAAGCAGAATAAAAAGTTAAAGACGTATATAGAAAAGATTTCTGATTTCATTTAAAGGACAAACTAAGACTCCGTCAGCTGACTGGAAAAGATCCAGCAGAAATTATAGTACCTTTAACTAATGATGAAATTCCCTCCTTATGGAAGGATAATGAATATTGGCAGATAGCTCTTACCGACTTTTTGGGAACAATTAGTAACAACTATCCCAAAACTGACAGAATTAAATTAATAAAAAAGACAGTCTGGATTCTTCCACACATTGTAAGACAAACTCCCATTTCTGGAGTTCTTACTTTCTACACTGACGCCAACTAATCAGTTAAGGCTGGTTATAAAGCAGGTGAGGTAAGTAAAGTAGTTCAAAGTCCATACACATCTGTACAGAAGGCAGAATTATATGCAATTCTCATGGTGCTTATGGATTTTACAGAACCTCTTAACATAATTACTGATTCCCAGTATGTGAATGTATGTTTGAAATGGTGAAGGAAGTTCTGTCTAGATGGGGTTTACAAATTACCCCAGAAAAGATACAAAGAGGAGATTCTATTAACTATTTAGGCTATGAGATAGACTTACAAAGAATCAGACCTCAAGAGGTACAAATTAGAATGGACCATTATCAAACTCTTAACGCAGAAACAGAAGTAATCCTCTGTACATTACACATATCAGATCCCATACGGATCTGCCAGGCCTACTGACACAAGGCAATGACGAGATTGATCGTTTATTAATCGGCACTGTGCTAGAAGCCTCAGAATTTCATAAAAAGCATCATGTAAATAGCAAGGGTTTAAAGAAGGACTTCTCCATCACTTGGCAACAGGCCAAGCAGATAGTGAGAAACTGTCCTACTTGTTCCTTTTATAACCAAACTCCGCTGCCAACAGGCTGTAACATGTAGATCGGATAAACCTTGATTTAGACTGCATTCTGGTTATCTTGCCATCCAGAGAACAGCCTTCTGGGATTCTGATGCAGAGGGAAGACACTATATTGGAATGGATATTTCTGCCACATAAGCAGACCAAAAAGTTAAAGACGTATATAGAACAATTAGTAGCAACTATACCAAAACAGACAGAATTAAATTCATAAAAAAGACAGTTTGGATTCTTCCACGCATTGTAAGACAAACTCCCATTTCTGGAGTTCTTACTTTCTACACTGATGCTAACAAATCAGGTAAGGCTGGTTATAAAGCAGGTGAGGTAAGTAAAGTAGTTCAAAGTCTGTACACATCTGTACAGAAAGCACAATTATATGCAATTCTCATTGTGCTTATGGATTTTACAAAACCTCTTAATATAGTTACTGATACCCAATA